TGACAACGCAGGCAACGACAAGAACAAGAGAAGAAAGAACAAGTCCCCAACCAAGAGAGGAAACAAGTCTGAAAGCCAGATCACCTCCGGCAGGGAGCAGCTAGGTCGCGCTACATCACTCCCTAATGCATATATATCAATATGTGCGGATGCTATCTATACAATCTTCTCATTATAGTAGGATGCACCCTTTGGAGCAAGGTCTTAAAAATCATGCTGGATACATAATCGTTTTGGCCATCGGTTCCTGGGTAAAATGGTCCGGTTGTCTGGTTTGAATAGATTTTTTATTCTAATTTAAAAAAAAAATAAAAAATGAAAAAAAATTGTCTGAATTGATAAATCGATAGTTCAACTACCCAGGTCAGCGGGCCACTGATTAAGTCAACGTATTTTTGCCCAAAAACTATTTTAAGATGAAACTGAACCGATTGTCTGAACAATTCCCAAATCAACCGGTCCAACCATCCGGTCTATTTCAGTTTTCAAAACCATGCTTCAAAGTTCTCTCTCTCTTGTCGGTAACCTTCAAAGTCTTTAGTCTTCTTACCCATAATGACCTCTTCATAAATGAAATCTTATACATGGCTGGGGTGGGGACTCCATTATTCACTCATTGGAGCCTTGTGACAATAATACATACAGGCGTACCGCTAGAGGTCCACAATGATTTCTTAGTCTCAGGTAGGTGGAAAATTGTCATCTCTATCGTCTATATCTGCATCCGGAGTAAAAGAATAAGATGCAGGTCCGTCGTCTGACTGGTCAGTGATGCCGGAAAATATGTTTTCCAGTGCCTCATTACCAGCAGATTGAATGTATATAGAGTAGGTCTTTTGAAAGCTATTTGTAAAATATGTTAGGTTGCGTTTGGATAAATTTCAAGATTTGTTATTTTAACGCCCCAAAGTACAAATTTAGGCTTTATGTCTTGGGGCCAAGTGTTTTGACTTCAAATTGTCGGTGCTTTTAAAAGCAAGTATTACCAAATATTAAAAAAATACTTTTTAGCTTGATTTTGTTTTCAATAGCCCAAAGCTCAAAAACTAAAGCTAATCCAAATGGATCTATTTTTATACCATCAGTCTTAAGTAAGTTTGTTCTTTCTTCCTTGGCCACTTGACCTAATTTAAGTACAACTCCAACGTTTACCATCAAAGCAGTTTTGGATCTATAATTGGAAAATGAAACTTTTTTTTTTTTACTTTTCCACCGACAGCAGTCAGTGAGAGGCCCAAATTAGTAGGTGGCATCTGGAAGAACCTCCCAAAGTTATCCCCATCCCAAATCCCCAATGGAAACGGGTTCCAATGGGGATTTGAATCCCTGACATTTTTTAATTAAAAATACTTTTTTTAGGGAATAGATTTAGAAGGAAATTTTTTAAGTAAAAATAATGTTCTAAATATATTTTGATATATTTAAATATAAAAAAAGGTCCATTTGAATTAACTTCACTCCCCATCACTCCATCAGGTTGGGGAGGCCATGTAACCAATAGTGATGAGGAAAATTACCATCCCTACCATTTGATGATTAGAAGTAATTTTGATGCAGCTTGGCAATCCCATGGGGCATACTTTGGCATAGTTTGTTTACGGAATGTGCACAACGTTTTCTTGGCAGACACATGAGATCCATAATACATGTGCTCCAATTGATCTAGTGAATTCTATTGCAGACTTACAATAATTCAAAATTTCAAATACCTCCACGTAAACACCAATACCTGCCTGTGTATTAACATCAATTTCGAGCTGGCACCTATCCCAACTGTAGGGTAGAGGTAAGACTTATGTGGATGGTAGGTAGCTATTTCTCTGGTGACTCTGGTGATATGTTCAAGAACTAATGTTCGGATTTTACTCAAATTCTTGATTAATCATTTTTGAAGTTCAACCCTATGCTTTCTCCAAGTCCCAAATTCCAATCTCAATCACTAAAGCTGTGTGTGGTTTGAAAGAAAAGAAGGGAAAGGAAGGGAAACCTCCTAACTGACTTAATTTCCTTTCTTTATTTTTCAAACCAAACACAACCTAAGTCTCTCCGCTAGTGGGCTGCTTGATACCCAATTTTCGATCCAAAGTTTCATATGCTTAATAGCCTTCTTGTCATGGGCTACCTGTCCAAGCCCAATAGGTTTATTTGGGCACTGATGCTTCCAATAGATCTTTGCCTTTTGGGATACTTCTTCCTTCTACGTTTCAGTTCACTGGTTGTGATTATTGATGTAACCGTTTCTGGTCACATACCAATTTTTTTTGTGATGTACCAATATTTTGGCTAACTACCTCGTCATTTGACCTGCTCCCAGGTGGCCTGTGACTCAGAGGATGATGGAGCTCCCTGGTGGCGAATTGCTTGGTGACGAGCTCCCTGGTGGAGAGCTACCTGGTGACGAGCTCCCTAGTGGAGAGCTACTTGGTGACGAGCTCCCTGGTGGAGAGCTACTTGGTGACGAGCTCCCTAGGGGAGAGCTACTTGGTGACGAGCTCCCTGGTGGAGAGCTACCTGGTGACGAGCTCCCTAGTGGAGAGCTACCTGGTGACGAGCTCCCTGGTGGAGAGCTACCTGGTGACGAGCTCCCTGGTGGAGAGCTACCTGGTGACGAGCTCCCTGGTGACGAGCTCCCTGTTGGAGAGCTACCTGGTGACGAGCTCCCTGGTGGAGAGCTACTTGGTGACGAGCTCCCTGGTGGAGAGCTACTTGGTGACGAGCTCCCTGGTGGAGAGCTACCTGGTGACGAGCTCCCTGGTGGAGAGCTACCTGGTGACGAGCTCCCTGGTAGAGAGCTACCTGGTGACGAGCTTCCTGGTGACGAGCTCCCTGTTGGAGAGCTACCTGGTGACGAACTCCCTGGTGGTGAGCTACTTGGTGACGAGCTCCCTAGTGGAGGGCTACCTGGCGACGAGCTCCCTACTGGAGAGCTACTTGGTGACGAGCTCCCTAGTGGAGAGCTACCTGGCGACGAGCTCCCTGGTGGAGAGCTACTTGGTGACGAGCTCCCTGGTGGAGAGCTACCTGGCTTCCCTCTGCATGAGGTGATCTCCTCTCCTTTGCCGGCAGCGGGAGCTGAGGGACCTGCGAGAACTGAATTAGAGGACCCAGGGGAAATTTCCCGGCGGGGACTCTCCGATGCCTAAGTTAGCATTCTGATTGTAGGGAGCTTGGAGAGAAATGAGAGAGCTAGAAAGCAAGGATTACCTCCATTTTTTCATTCTCCCCCACTTGTCTTTGGGGGTCAGAGTCCTTATATAGTGGTGTCCTGTCAAATCAGGCATAACAGCCACTGTCAAGTTAGGCGTAATCGCCTCTGTCTCTCTGCCGCAACCGTTACTGTCAGAGCTGAGGTGGCGGCTGCAGGCGGCTGCTGCAGAGTACGACTCTGCCAATCAAGGGACAACTCTCAAGACTGGCAGCACGGCGCCGCCTAGCAAGAGACGTGGGCACAGGTTTCCGGATCTGTCAGGTACGGTTGTCAGGCAGGAGATCTTCCTGCGATACGCCAAGCTGCCCCTAAGTGCCGAGCTACCTATGCCGAGCTGCTTGTAAGTGCCGAGCTGCCCCTAAGTGGCGGACTCTTCGTAAGACTCCAGGCTGCCTGCGGAATGTCCAGCTGCCTGTGGCGAGCTGCCTATGCCGAGCTACCTGTAAGTGCCGAGCTGCCCCTAAGTGGCAAGCTCTTTGTAAGACGCAGGCTGATTGTGGAGTGGCCAGCTGTCTGTGGCGAGCTGCCCTAACTATACCGAGCTGCCTAGTCGTCAAGAGGCTGGACTTGGTTTGCATGAGGTGCCAGGTATCACAATTTCACTGGAGGGCCAAATCCGCCCTCATCAATTATCATTCATTATTTTGCCAGCCCACTCATTTATCAAGTCCATCATTTTTACACCCTCTTTGCTTCCGCTATATAATCCATCGGTCTAGGGCTAATGGCCTTTTCAGTTTATGTAATATGTTGGGAATTTATTGGGGGATTTTAAGGGGGTGTTTGATAATGTGAATGCTTTTGTTTTCATTTATTTTTTATTGTTGTTGTATTAGCAAAAAAATAAAAGCATGTTCTTTAACTTTGTTTTTTTTTTTTTGAGAAGAAAAACAGGATGATTTTGTTTCAAAAATATGTTTGGAACCATCGAATTATGTTTTGTAAAACAAAAACAAATTTTTATTCTTCAAACTTACGATACAGTATGTGGCAGAGCAACCTTGTTTCTTTTTCACTCCTCGTCTATAGTTTGACTGAACTCCAATGGATCAATGGAGTTCAATTGGATCATCTCCCTATTGCCTTTATACTTGCAAAAAAAAAAAAATCAATATTGGGCTTTGGCCCAAGCAACGCAAGGGGATAGGTGGTGACCTTATAGGCCAATAATATACTCTGTCAATAATACATGTTTTTGGAATCATCAAAATAGTGTTTTTTAAAACAAAACAAATTTTGCAATAAAAAATTGTGTGATTTATAAAGGATGATATTAAATAACAAAATGAAAACATGTATTTAAATCCAGAAACTTAAGAACATGTTTTTTTTGTTTCAGTTTTGAAAACAAAAAACACATACACAATCAATCTAAACTCGACTTGATTGACAAATGAAAAAAATACAACATACGAAGGCTTTTGTGAAAAACTATACATAAGAATGACACTTGGAAATTCGTGTTAGCAGGACCATACAGCGAGATTACATCTCCACCCCACAAGGAGCCACCACACAACGCCCCACAGCACATCTCTGCCGTGTATTGGGAATATCTCCCAATAATAGTACCAGTTCCGATGATGTCATCATCACACGACGGGAATGTGCTGTGGGGCGGAGATGTGAACTCCCATACAGCTATACAAGTTCTTATAAATGAACTCAAGGCTGTTTCTAAAAAAGTAGTAATCAAATATAATTTTTGGTGTTAAATCAGCATATGGGAATCCCATTTCCAATTTTTTTTTTTTGCACAAGATATCTACTAACTAGATCAAAAGATGATCCATTGAAAAAATTAATAGAAGAGAAAAATAAATAAATAAGGGAATTTACGTACACAAGTTTTGCTATCCTAATGTAATGTCAAAGAATTACTTAAACAATGATCAGTCCCCAAACAAAATATCAAACCAATCCGACTATGATAGTTCAAGTTCTGTATCTTGTGTTGCTGCACATATTGTTGTTGTTGATGATGGTAAAGTTGAACGTGATTCATTGGCACCAGAAGGCAATGACGTTGTTGATTGTGCAATAAAGGATGATGGTGCATACATGGTAACATTGCTTGCTCCCTGGATTGCTAATCCAACATCTCCTGCTACTGATGGATCAGAGGAGCTGGAGGAACCTACCTCATAGATGGAGAGATTTCCAAATGCATCCAAGTGATGTAATGATTCTTGGAGTTGATGAACTGTTGTGGGACAGTAGTTGTTAGACAGTGTTCCTTGTGAGATTGAAGAGATGGATTCTTGAATATTATCAGGAACTGTGATGTTAAGATTTGATAAACCTCTGTACAAACATGAGTAACCTTCAATGTCATTAACAATATAAGAAGTTTGCATGTCATCAGCATCTGATAAGCACGGGTAGTGTTCCGTGGAGTTACTAATGTCAGAAACTATTGGACAAGCAACTGGTGGGCATGGATATAATGAGTACTTATTAATTTGAGAAGGCACTAGGTCAGCAACTGGTGGGCATGGATACAATGAGTACTTATTAATTTGAGAAGGCACTGGGTCAGCAACCGGTGGGCATGGATAAAATGAGCGGTTAATAATTTGAGAAGCCATTGGGTCCGCAACTTGTGGGCATGGATAAAATGAGCAATTTGAGAAGCCATTGGGTTAGCAATTGGTGCCAGTTTTGGCCAGCATTACCCATTATATTGTTACCATCTGGGTTTTGAGAATCATAAGATAATTTTCCGATCTTAGCGATCTTGCAGAGTATCCATTGATGGAACTGTTACAGAGTAAGAACCCAATATTAGAATAAGATGTAAAGAAGGAACATTCTAAGAAACAAATGAAACAACGCAATAATTAAAAGAAAACAAGTAAACAAGTAAGAAGTAACTAAAACCTGTTTAGCCTGTCCAGGACGATTCAAAAGTAAAAATTCATGCATAATCCAATCTGTCTTTGAAGCATCTTTACAAGATCAACCGCCTTTCTTTTTGTACTGATAATACACTAAAGTTTTGGTGTGACCCACTACCTTTCCCCTGACATCCTTAACATAGGAGTCCCCGAAACTAGCCTTTCAGAATCCATCACCGGCTCGATGATCGGGTCTACATCCATTCGCGCACTTCCTTTTCAACGAAACAAAGAAATACAAAGCTTCATTGCACTTTTTACCTTCTTGGTTCACACCCATTACCAGCTTATCAGCTCTAGGGAGATTCCACGGCTCTACACCATAGAAATTGTAAGCATCGATGATGCCCGAAGGGATGCTTCCATCGAGTAATGATGTTCGTCATTCTTGAAGCATTGAAAGACACCCAATTCAATACTTAGAGTAATGAACTATTATAGAACTGTGAAGAAGAAGAAGAAGAAGAAAAAGAGTTGAAAATCGAGTGTTCGACTTTGAATGAAGTCTTCTACGTGAGTAATGAACTACTCTATAAAAAGTACGAATGACGTCAAGAATATTTTTAGAATTTTTTTGAGAATAAAATTTATCCCTCTACATTTAAATTTATTGATAAAAAGTGAGGCAAATAGGGTAGTCAATTAATGATATTAAATGAGTTGAAAAGAGGTAATTTTATGATATTCTATGCATTCAATTCTCTCTCAATAAATTCAATATTTAATTTATTAACTTGCATTCATGTTCAATGAATATCATATTTAAGTCATTTTTGTTTCTTCTCATCATTAAGTTCTATTAATTAAATCCATACTTAATAAATCAATACTCCAATAACATAAAAGCTTATACTTTTAAAATCTACCTAGAAAAAATAGAGTTTTCATCAATGTGATGGTAAGAAATTAAACCATTTTGGGTCAAATGGGCTAATCCATGCTGCCACGATTAAATAATAAAATAAAAAAAAAAACAAATTAAAAAAAATTGAGAACGTTTTTAATACACATATTAAACAATAATAAGTATGATAAATAAGAAATGCTTTTATTAATGATAGAAATTGAATGTAAAATTTAAAACCAATTGGAAATAAAAATATTTTTCTATATTCTCTCTCATTAAATCATATATGTTAGATATATTTTTCTCATTATTAAATTCTTATAATTAAATCCACAATATTGATTTTAATAGTATAAAATAAATATTTTGAAAAGTAACTTGAAAACAAAACCATTTTCTTCCCTCCGAGTGATGGGCAAGCATTGCCTCAAGAATATTTCTAGAATTTTTTGAGGATAAAATTTACCCCTGTACATTTAATTTTATTGATAAAAAGTGAGGACAAATAGGGTAATCGGTTATTGATATTAAATGAGTTGAAAAGAAGTGATTTTATGATATTCAATACATTTAATTCCCTCATAATAAATCCAATATTTAATTTATTAACTTGTATTCATGTTCAATGAATCTTACGTTTAAGTCATTTTTGTTTCTTCTCATCATTGAGTTTTATTAATTAAATCCATAGTTAATAAATTAATAATTCCAATAACATAAAAGCTTGTACTTTTAAAATCTACCTAGAAAAAATAAAGTTTTCATCAAGGTGGTGGTAAGAAATTAAACCATTTTAAGTCAAATGGGTTAATCCATGTTGCCACGATTAAATAATAAAATAAATTGTGAACATTTTTTTAACATACATATTAAACAATAATAAGTATGATAAATAAGAAATGTTTTTATTAATGATGGAAATTGAATGTAAAATTTAAAAACAATTGGAAATACAAATATTTTCCTATTCTCAGTAAATCATATATGTAAGATATATTTTTCTCATCATTAAATTCTTGTGATTAAATCCACAATATAAATTTTAATAGTATAAAAATAAATATTTCGAAAAGTAATTTGAAAACAAAACCATTTTCTTCGCTCTTGGTGGTGGGCAAGCAATTCCATCATTTAGGGTCAAATGGATTAATAAATAATTTTATAATTAAATTAAATAAGCATGAAATGTAAGAAGTATTTTTATTAATGATGAAAATGGAATGCCAAATTTAAAATCTACCTAGATATGAAATAATGTCATAATCAAATAATAAAATTTTTAAAAATATAAAATGCAAAGAATCACATAAAAAAGATAGAGAAAATTTGGGGCACATATCTAATGTTATATATTTATAAAAAATAAAATATTGGATACATCTCTAATATTATGTATTTTTTAATGATGGAAATGTAATACAAAATTTAATGTCAACCTAGAAATCAAACTAATTTTCTTTATGGGTGGGTTAGTGGTTTGGTTCAAATGATATTATAGACAAACAAAAATTAAGTGTGATAAGTAAAAATTATTTTTATAGTGTAAATGAAATATATAATTTAAAGGGAAAATTATAGTCAAAGTCGGTTATACATTTAAAATTATGTTGTAGGATGGTCCAGAAACCAACAAAACTCTAACAACCGGCTCTATATTTCAAATTATAAAAACCCCCCACCATGTCATCAGAGGCTTGCTTATGTGGTTGTTGACAACATGGGACTCTTAATTCATTTTGGACAGAAAAAGTCTATACCAAAAATAGGTTTTCAGTTTCTATCCCGTTCCCCCGTCTCTCAATCTCCCTCCCTTCTCTCTGACTCTCACAGTCATCTCTCGATCTCCCACTCTCTCACCTTTATTATGTAGCCAAGTCAAAACCTTGGTTTCTCTCCCATTCTCTCTCTCTCTCATTCTTCTTCCTCACTTTCCCTCTCGGTTAATATCTCATTCTCCCTCAAATTCTATCGTTCTCCCCCAATCTTTTCCCCACTACCTCTCTCATTCTTTTTTTATTTTTTTTACAAACTTTTATAGTATTAATTAGACCATATAAAAGAACTAAAGGGACCAACCACTTGTACAATCAAGTTATGAATTTCTATCAAGTTGGTGTAAACTTCATAATTAAGAGTTTGTTATGAACTTTTATCAAATTGGTATAATGATTTTTGAACTATACCAAGTTGGTCTCATGTTCTTTTATACAATCTTATTAATACCATATAAGTGTGTAAGAAAATATTAAGAAAAAAATAAGAGTGAGAGAAACTAAGGGAGAATGATAGAAATTATGAGAGAAGGAAAGATTGACCGAGAAAGAGAATGAGAGAGATTGAGGGAGAACAATAGGTAGAGAGAATGAGAGAAATTGATAGAGAGAACATAAATACAAAAACCGAAAACCATTTTTATTTCTTTTTAAATCACACAGTCGTTGAGCAGAGAGAGATGACCGAGAGAGAGAGAGAGAGAGAGAGAGCGGGAGAGAAACTAAAAACCATTTTCTTATTTTCTAATCACCCAACATTAAAGGGCAATTTCAGTATAAGCTTTTTGCTGTGTCCAACATGGATTAAGAATCCCATGTTGGCAATAGCCACATAAGCCTCCAATGACATGACAGGGTTTTTATAATTTGAAATGTAAAGCCGATTGTCAAAGTTTTGTTGATTTCTAGACTAATATATAACCTAATTTTAAATGTACAGTTGGTTCTGACTATAATTTTCCCTAATTTAAAACTAATCCAAAATCAAAGCTATTTTCTTATCTAGATGGTGGGTCAATAATCCAACTTTTCTAAGAAACCCATGGTGTCATAATTGAATAATAAATATTTAAAAAAAAAAGAAAAAACACCAAAAATGAAAATGTACAGAATTTTGTCAAAAATATTTGAGAACATTTCTAATGTTATATATTCATTATATTAAATAAAAATAATTGTTAAAATAAAAGTTAATTTTATTTTTGATAGAAATGGAACACAAAATTTATTAAGGGTAGAAGTAATGGCCTTATTTCGAGGTTTGAAATTGGTAAAACAATGGGGCTTGCAACAATTAGAAGTGGAAGGATACTCCAAGCTGGTAATAGGGTGAATGCAAACTGGAAACCTGGGAGTGTGGTCTCTTAGACAGCCTCTAAGAGAGATTATTAGCTTAGCAAGGGAGATTGGGGTGCATTTTAATGGGTAAGAAGGTTAGCAAATGGAATGGCTGACACTTTAGCTAAGCAAGGAGTTACTAAGGAGGCTTTGTTTTGGGCCTATTTGTAAGTTTTTGATTTTCTTTTTTCCATCCTTTTTGTGGGTGGTAAGCCTGTAATCTTTTTAATTATCTAATGAAAGTTATCGTTTCCTATCAAAATAATAATAATAATAACGGAAAAGTACGGACAAGCCCAATGCAGATTTTTGAATTCCACTACACCTTTAAACATTCAAAATGTCAAAAGCTCCCTCTCTGTACACCAATACCATACCCGTGAATTGGCATCAATTTCGAGCCAGCACCTACCCCAACTGTACTTTGGGCCTAAAAATTCTGACCCTGGGCTGAGCCATCATTCTCCCTAATAATAATAATTGTTATTTGGTACAAGCATTTATGTTTATTTTTAATCATATTGTTACTTTTGTTAATAGTGAACCTAATAAGTAAGAATGTAATGGATGGGGAGAGGAGCTAATGTAATCGTAGATTAAAGCAAACGGGAAATAGGGATCAATTGCATTGGAGTCGATTGAAATATGGTTGCTTGTTATATTGGTTCCCTATACTGTTTTTACCAATTATGATTTTAATAAATTATTCACTTATCAAAAAAAAATGTTAGGATATTTAATTTGTTGGAGATCAAATTGCAGCCATTGTAATTGTTAGCTCAGGTAGTCCTAATCTTCCTTTGAGTTTCTTTGAAGTTATTTTTCCAATAAAAAAAGGGTAAATTTCTTAAACTACTATTATGGTTTAGCTAATTGACTAAGTGTACCCTTACTATTTGAAAATTGACTAACACTACTCCTACTACTTCTAACAATTAACTAATACTTCCCTTACTGTTAGCACTTGTTAACAAAATGACAGAAAAAAAAAACTATTTTACCCTTTATTCTTCTTCAAATTTTAAAAAAAAAACAAAGAAAAAGGAAATCAAAACCCTAACTACATTTATGAGGACACATTTGGAGATGGGCAAATATGGTTGACCTAGTGCACAGTTGTTAACTGGGTGCAAAGGGGTTGTCGAGCAAAACCATCTCCATTCAACCCAACCGGCGAATTCAGACCCTCTTGAGAAACAAGTCTTCCCCTCACCCCAAATGGCGGTGAATTTTACTTGACCCAGTGCAAAGTTGTTAATCGGGTATAAGCTTCATCGTATCCAAGGGGTAGAACAACCTAGTACAGAGTACACCTCGACCCCTTTTGAGGAACCCGGCCTTCCCCATCTTTGAGATGCTGTTGCAGAGTTGTTAACGTCAGAACTCTATTTCTAAACCTCTCAACAAGAAATTCAAATTCCTTCCCACATGCAGTCCTAATAGTACCTGGAGACTAGAAAGTCGGAGAACCAAATGCAGAACGACAGTGGTGTTCCCCTACCTCAAGTTACAGAACAATCGAAATTCCATACCCCTCAATTCCACCTCATGCTCTTCAAATTCTAACTCCGGAGGTGGTTTTCTTCTTCAGAAGCGGAACCCATTTACTGAGTTAGATCGAGGTCATCGGGCATCACGGCGTAGAGGCCAAAACTGGTTCGAACTTGTATACCAGTTCAGTCGAAGAAACCTCTACACTACTATGATCATGAACTAGAGATAAAGTTGCATGCTTTTGAAGAAACTCATCGTCGTCATCTGAAGAGAGATTCAGTTCCACAGTAGAAGCCTCCGAAAAACGAAGGTGGTCGTTTCATCAAGACTAAAACTAGAGCACTAAAACTGTGATCTAAAGAAGGTGAAGCAAGCGACCAATCCATAGCATCCAACCAAGCAACCCCTAAAGAACCCTGTGTTATTCGACCCTTGAAGGCTAGCAAGGCCATCCGTTCTGTTTCATTTCCACCAAGACCGGTGCTGGTACCAGAAGCGGCAGTGGCAACGACAACCGGAATAAAAGAGGGAAAAGAGAAGGGAGAGTAACAAAAATTGGAACCGCTAGAACCTTCGCTACTAGAACCTTCACCGTTGAAACTGCCCCTACCAACCTTCAGAAGCGGAATCCGTTTACTGAGTTAGATCAAGGTCATCGGGCTTCACGGCGTAGAGGCCGAAACTGGTTCGAACTTGTATACTAGTTCAGTCGAAGAAACCTCTGCACTACTACGATCATGAACTAGAAATAAAGTTGCATGCTTTTGAAAAAACTCATCGTCGTCATCATCTGGAGAGAGATTCAGTTCCACAGCAGAAGCCTTCGAAAAATGAAGGTGGTCATTTCATCAAGACTAAAACTAGAGCACTAAAGATGTGATCTAAAGAAGGTGAAGCAAGCGACCAATCCATAGCACCCAACCAAGCAACCCCTAGAGGACCCTGTGTTATTCGACCCTTGAAGGCTAGCAAGGCAAGCTGTTTTATATCATTTCCACCAAGACCGGTGTTGGTACCGGAAGCGGCAATGGCAACAACAACGGGAATAAAAGAGAGAAAAGAGAAGGGAGAGTAATAGAAATTGGAACCGCTGGAACCTTCGCTACTAGAACCTTTGTCGTTGGAACCGCCCCTACCAACCTTTCGCCGTTGGAACCTCTGGTGCCCAATCGGAAACCCCATAGTCCACTTCCAAATCATTTGTCCATTGGAACTCCTCCAATAATTGCAAATTCAAAGAGAGATGCAATTGTGGTAGTTTGGACTCTAGGGTCCAGTGTTGCAATGGACCCATCTCTTGCCACCTTTACAACAAAACCTAAGAATCCTCGTATTGGTTAAAAAGAAGGGAGAGAGAGAGAAAGGGGAGGAAAAAGGTGAAGTGTAAAATTGAGTTTTAAAAATATATATAAAACGTGTAAATGAATTTTGATGGAATATTAACGGACCTTAACGAGCGTAGAGTTAGTCAATTATTAGATACAATAGGGATAGCATTAATCAATTTTCAAACAGAAAAGGTACACTTAGCCAATTAACTAAACCATAAGAATAATTTAAAAAAATGGAAGAAGTGTCGAAGTCAGTTTTTCACAACAATCATCATCTAGGTTATTTGCTTCACCCTTTCTTCCAATTAAATAACAAACTATAGTCAATTTTTCTTTCCATTAATACCTTTGTTTATCTATTTGACAAGTACTAACAATCTTAGTACAGTCAAAAATTATATCAGCCTAGAAGGGGCTTTGGCACAATAATATTTACGACTATTCCAAACGGAGTTCTGCGTAGCAGTGAAGACCATACAGAAACCAAGAACAAGATCGGAGAACAATTTCACATGTAATACGTACAGTTTTATGTTCCTCCGCAAAAACCCTAGTCGACGAAATTATAAGAGCACAGAAAACCCTAATCGAAAAACAAACCTGGGCTGAGTTCGTGACGGAGGCGGTGATAATGGCAAAAGCACAAATTTGCTTCCCCTCAGCGCCCGTCGATCCTCGTCTGTAAGAACTTCTTCCAACCCTTTTGCCATTTTCCATTCTGAACCGAAAAACGCGAATTTGACCTGATCAAGACTTTAAACCTGAGGAAAAAACCCTCGGAAGAGAAAGAAAAAGGCGGCCGTCCGATTAAACTCGGCTCCTAAGGCATCAGTGGGATAGCGAGGCACCGATTCGTTATCCTTCCACCGACGGGAGCGGGAGGTTGTCGCTGCTCTGTGAAACCAGCCTGACCTGGTGACCTCCACTCTAAGGACCATGAAACCCGAGCCTTCACCCGAGTCGCGTGGCCCAACTCCTTACTTGGAACGGGCGAACCAAATCAAGCCTCAACAGACCCTATCCGTCGGATCGAGTTAATGTCCAACCACCTTGTTGCCCCCGCTCGGGTTACAAGCTCGCGCTACTGAGCTCAGCGATATATGTTGTATTCCTAGGATTAATAAGGAAGCTAGATCTCTTTCGCGTTCCGATGCTGGATATGGTGTCATTGACTCATTGCCCAAATTGAGGGAAGTTTTAATTGGGAAAAAAACATTTCATCTATGATCATACCCACTTGTTTTGTGGTTTATTTTTAAAGTCATTTTTCTTTTTTCTCGTTTCTTCTTAAAAACACTTATTTTTAAAGTCATTTCTTTTTTAGTTGATCTTTTGTCGATGTTAAAAATTAAAAATAGTAAAATAAAAAATAGTTGATATAATAATTCAAATATAATAGTTGCTTATTTTTTGTGCCTTAGATTTTAATAAAAATAAAAATTGATACATTATCAATAAAATTGTATAATATTTATGCATCCCATTATATCAATAATAATATATTTCTTCAGATATACAATTCCTATGTATTTATATGTTATTTATAGTTATTTTGACATTAAGCTTGAAGTCATTAATATAATTATTGAATTTATATGCAATTTTTGAAAGTTTTGAATTGTCTCAAGGTAGAAGACAATTCAACAGATAACTGAACAATGTCTATTGAACAGTGTCTTCTTTTGATGGAGAGTTTTGGAATTTGCAATAAATAACTGGTGGTTGATTAATGGTAGGGACCAACTTGACACTTTCTTGAAAGTTTAGGTACAGTAGTGACACATTTGAAAGTTTGGGTACTAACTTGACACTATCCCCAAAGTTCAGGGTACTCCCTAAAAACTAATGCCAATTTAAAACTAATGTAAAACTATTACAAAATAATCTAACAATTATTAGTTTTATTAATTTAGAACCAACTTAATTTCCACTGAATATACTTAAATAAATAAGGAATTTACTATACTTAAATAAATTCAATTTTTAATAATTTTAAAAATTAATAAAAATATTAATCTTAAATATAGTTTAATTGTTCTAAAATCAATTTAAATTTCATTTAAAAATAAGGAAAATTATAAAAACCTTCTTGGGTTTTCTGAAAATCCTATGGAACTCCCCAATGTTTTGACATTAACAAAACCTCCCCTATTGTTTTGAAAAAGGTGCAAATACCTTGCTTTCATCAGCATTCTGAAATGTTGATGTAATGTACTAATTTTACTTCACTTCAACATTTTTACCTTACTTTGTCCAAGAAGAGTAAGGAGAATTATTCTTTGAAAGTTGTTTAGCAAAATAAATTAATGAAAGGTGAGGTTGTAACTTTAAATTATGTATGACAATACATTAATGACAAGGGTATTTTAGTAATTTTAATGTCTTTGTTACCAAAAAGCCTAAGGGAAAGGAGGTATTTGCACTTTTTTTCTCAAAACTAAAAGAAAGGCCTTTGTTAGGATCAAAACACAAAGGTAGTTTATAGAATCTTTATAAGATGATGTTTTATTATAATTTTACCTAAAAATAATAATAAATTCTCTTTCAAAAACATCAATAAAAATTAGCATTAAAATACAAAAAAATAACACAAATTATCTAGAGAATTGGAAATTGGCCACTCTCACTAAAGAACAATTTAGATTGTGATTTGATAAACTAGACATAACCCTAAAATTACTTCATTGAACTTATATGGACAACGTTTAATTGGAAATGTTATAGAGCTCCATCTTCAATTTTGCTTATAAATAAAGCATGTGCATCACACGGGTCAACTAGTCATAGGCATTAAGGCCCATTCGGAGGGCTTCAACCGTTCAATGTTAACTAAACAGTTTCGAATAAACTACCAAAATTAGTTTTAACAAAAAATTTGTTTCTCAACTCAATGTAATTGTTTTTTTCACTTTTTGTTGTGTTTTAGAAGAGTATAAATATAAATATGTTACCTTGCATATGGTTGATTTTGTACTTCTAAACCTTGTATTTGCACAAAAGGGACCTTTTTGAGCTTTTCATCAAACAAAGCTTCACTCATTTACCTAACCAGTGTGCTTTTTGAGTTTAGTTTCATAGAGTGTATGCAAAAACTCCATTTATTCATTACATCTTCAAACAACACTAGAAGTTTAGCATATCCATAACAATTGATGATAGAGTTGATCTGCGATGTTTCTTATTAGTTGTATTTATTTTCTTCTTTTTTTTATCTTTTAAAGGATCTTCAAAATTGGATTTCTTTGTTACAAAAGAATAGGTATATTGTGAATAGGTGCCCTATACTTCAGGGGTAGCCTCACTTTGGATAGTACCTAAACTTTTAGATATATACATTTAAGTCCAACTCCATTATACTAACATTGTGATAACATGTAAAATTATAGAAATGCTTGTGTTCTAACTCTCTTTTTTTCATTGTTCATCTTTCTTCTACCTTTGGGCTTCAAGATACAAATTAGCATTGGCAAAGTAAGCCTTCAACGGTGAGACTACCAGTAACGAATAGATTGAGGTGATATTACTTTATCACTATTGATTTGCATCCAAAGTCTAAAGGTAGAAGAAAATAAATAGGTGAAAAAAAGAAAGCCAATACATGGGCATTTTTGTAATTTTACCCCTCACCTTAGCATTGTGTAAAGAGACTAGGCCGAATGGGCCCTAGTATCTTTTCTTGTAGTATGTTTTATTTATTTGTTAGTTAATGTGTTTATCTTAATGGGCCTATTATTTCTTTTGCTAGTTCTCTTTATGTTACTGCCTATCTGGCAGCCCACTTAAGGGTATACTTGTAATTATGTTAAGATTGAAGTTTAGTAAAATGATTAGAGAAGGGAGGGAAGATACATTCGAACTCTTCCTCTTCCTCCTCCTCTTTTCTCCATCTTCTTTGTCTTGTACTATTGTTTCCTTCTTTTCTTCCTCTTTTCTCTCTAATTTTTTCAAGTTTACATCAGTTTTGGAGGGCTGATTTACATCTTGGTGTCAGAGCAGGTTTMTTTCTTCCTTCTTTTCTTCTTCCTCTTTTCCCATACACCCTTCGATTAAGAGAGTGTATGGAGAGATAGGTTCTCTATAGTTCAAATCTTTTGCCTAGTTGGTAGAGGGTTATGAGAGTTTAAATCTAGTCGGATATTGCCAAGAAGTGGTGATGTACTATTTCTGCCCAAAACCCTAGTCGACTAGAGATTTTTGAAGTTACGAGTAAAAGTGAAGCTTTGGGTGTGACATTATGTGCTTGGGAGGTGTCTTTTGACTTCTAAAAGATGGTGGTTTAGGTTTGGAAGAGATTGGGAAGCTCTAGTAGGAGCACCTGCATCTTCTCTCTTTCTCTCCAATAATCAGATGCAATGAAATCCTAGTTTTCAAGCATCTGGGTACTGGTTTGACATGAAGTAAGTTTATAAAGACCAAATTTCTGTTTATATTTTTTTTATTTTTGTTTGATTAATGGAGCAATACGAAAGTGAGTTCAAGCAGGTGCTAGTTTCTGAGCTTGGCTTAGTAGATTTCGTTTTGACTGGTGTGACCACAATCAAGCTAGATGGGACAAATTATCTTGCTTGGGCACAGTCTATAAGGATTTATGTCTGTAGTAGATGAAAATTAGGGTACCTCACAGGCAGTAAAGTGAAACCCGAAGAGACAGACCTTGAATTTAAGAAATGGATGTAGGAGAACTATACTGTCATAGGATGGTTGGTCAACTCTATGCAGCCTCATATGAGTCAAACACTATCTTTGGATGTCCTCTGCCAAGGAGATCTGAGACAGTGTTACTTAAACTTATTCACAAAAGTTGAATGTGGCTAGAGCCTACAAGCTGAAAAGTGATGTGAAGAACTTAAGACAGGGGAGAAGAGTGTAGCAATCTACTATTCTATACTGAAATTCTTATGGTAGGGATTTGATGTTATGGAGACAGTTGCATAGGAGACTAAGAATGATTCATAAATGTTTAGGAAGTTGGTGGAAAGAAACAAGGTTTTTGAATTTCTTACTTGACTCAACCCCGAGTTTGACATCATTATGCAGAATATTCTGGCCAAAGATGAGGTTACTCTTGCCCAGGCATATGCTATGGTGAGCAGTGAGGAGAGTAGGCGGTAGGTTCAGTTACAGAGTCCACCTATAGAACACTTTGCACATGTTGGAATAAAGTCGAAGGGTCCAACTAAGAAGGAGCAGGTATGTGAATATTGCAAGAAACCGAGGCATACGAAGGACACTTGCTGGAAGTTTCATCCTGATCTTCTTCCTGACCTGTCTAAGAATAAAAACAATTTTAAGAAGGGTAGTTAGACATGAAAGCCTAAGACAGTTAATGTTTCCATAGTACCAGAAGGAGGAAGTAACGAGAGTGAAGAGAAGTCAACCATTGAATAGTATGCAGCAATGAAGGCAGAATTTGAAAAATATGGAAGGCTGCTAAATCACTTGGAGGCTACTGTTTCTACATCTCACTCTTCAGGCAACACATCATCATTATCAACATTTGCTCACTCAGGTATTCGTACTTCTGCAAACCATGCTTCAGTTTCAAGTAATCATAAAATCCCTTGGATCATTGATTCTGGAGCATCAGACCATATGACCAGCTTGTCTAACCTTTTCTGTTCATACCACCTTCTCTCTAGTAAAGAGAAAATATCCCTTCCTGATGGGTCTCTTGCTCCCATTTCTAGCAAATGGGATATAAAAACCTCTGACACCCTTTATTTATCCTTTGTTCTTCATGTCCCTAAACTTTTAATACAAATCTTTTATCTATTAATAGCTTGACTAAATCCATGAAATGTAGCATAACCTTCTTTCTCACTCGTTGAGTTTTTCAGAACCTACAGTCTCAGAGGATGATTGGGAGTGGCCATGAGGCGAATGAAATATACTTGCTGGACACACCTGATAATGCTCTTGAACCACCTCATGGAGTTGCCTTGGAGTCAGTCTTGTCAGATTCTGTTGACAAAGTCATGTTATGTCACTTTCAATTTAGTCATTTGTCTTTTTCTACTTTGAGTCATTTATTTTAAAATATGTTTAAGGGAGTGTTTTTATCAAGTCTTCATTGTAAGTCGTGTGAACTGGCAAAACATTGTAGACAATCTTATT